AAGAAGCTTAAAAGCATATAATTTGCGATCAAGATTACCTTCTTACCTTTCCGTTTGTGCGCAGATTTCGGGTCTCACCTACTTTTTTAACAAGCACTAACTCGCGTAGATTATTGTGGATTAATTAAACTAGACGTCTTATATCGTCTACTTGTGCTTTTATTCGGATTTCTAATAATGAATTCGAAGAATAAAAAATTCCTGAAAAATGCTAGCAAAAAGGTGCGTAAGAGCCAATCAAATTCGAGAATTGATACGTAGATCATTCTAGAATCCGATTTCCTAATTCGGTAAATCCCCTGACTGCACTATGCTTTAAAAGCACTAGGCTCAGCACTTGCAAAACTTTAATTAAAAAGTATTTGTAATGATAACTATTATGAATTTAAATAGCTATTTCTATACTTACTTTTTATAAAAAAGCGATCTAAATTGATATCTTAAAATATGTAATAGTGCTACTATATATAACTTATTGTCCATTGGTCCATTAAATAAATATTTCTTCAATAGAGTTAATTTTTTAAATCAATGGACCGGAGCTCCATTGATAGCGATGAACAAATTTGCCAACTCTGCCATAGAGCGCTCGCAAAAAAAACCTGAATTTAAATTATACAATTAAGGAATTGTATTATGATTTCACATTATGATATGATATTATGGCATACGGCATTATGGCATATAATATTTATGGCAATCAGGTACTGTGCCGTATTTAATTCTACCAACTGGTAAAATGCCGTAATGCCATAATTTAGTTATTCTACCGCCAACTATACGTACAAATTTCATGAAAACCATTTTACCGAAACTAATGTTTACACAATATATTTTACAACCTTACGCCGATGGTGCCCCATTTGAATCTATATAAAGGAACAGGAGGAAACGTACCCAATCCAAAGTGAACCCCACACATGGTGTGATCAATTAAAACCAATATAAATAATTTCAGTTTTAATTGATCACACATGTGTGGGATTCACTTTGGATCGGGTATGTTTCCTCCTGTTATGTAAAGGTAGTGTATCCGCTATGAAGAGGATCACTATAATAGCAATTAAACTTATATCTACAACCTTTATCGTTATTTCTACAGCATGAATAAATGCTCTCACATCCTTCAGAATTTAGATTACCCCGACAGCAACTCCAGTATCCGGGAATCATAGGATTAGTGATATCCCCTAAAGTAAGTATCCGAGCAGCCCACTCACCAGGACTATTATCTATTCTACTATCAATAGGCTTACCAGGGTGTCCAAAAACAAGTGAGCCTGCATGATAAGCTACTAACTGGTCAGAATGATATTTATAAAGACTATTTGGGTATATATATATAATCTTTCCAATATAAATTTGTTTCATTTCAGAATGAACTGAATCAACCTCTAAATGACATTTTGGATCTGCCAGTCTTGGATCAGTTTCTTTCGGACATCTTAAACATTTGATTATTTTAAAATTTAGACATATAGGATGCTTAGAATGCTCTTCCATTAGTATTTTATATTTTGCGAGAATTCGATCTGGTTCGGATGCTTTATAAATACAAAATTCATTTAATTGATCACTTGATAAATTCATTTTAACATAAATACTCTCATTTGGTAGACTTTCAAATAATAAAATTGCAAGATCAGTGGTCTTTGCAAGCAGGTTGTTTTCTATACCCAACATTTTACCATATTTTTTCTTATAATTTTTTATGACTACTTGTCTGGCAGCTTCACGAGGACCGTTTTTAATTTTGTTTCCTTTAGTGACAATGATTGTATTATCCCAGACATTGTTGTCATAGTCCTTTGCAAGTAACTCTATAAATTTTGCCTCTCATTTTAACGAGGATGTTGCTCTTACGTCAGATGTAACAAACCATAAAATTGTTGTTATTTTGGAAATTCCTGAATCTAGCATCTTTTGAAAAATTAAACGTTTATTTTCTTCATCATTCTTATTTTCATCCGAATCATCAAACCCAGAAGTATCAATGTAGAAAGTTTCATTTCCAATATCATGAACTGTAACTTCTTCAGTTTCAGAATTTGTAGAATGTCCGACTTTAATATCTCGTACACTGAAAATTGTTCCCGTAAAGCTTTTTCTATTTCCAGTCTTTCCAATTGCAAGAATACATTGTTGCTAATATGTATGCATTTGATTATAAGCATATGTCTTAAAAGAGAAATTCTTATTGCTCGTTCATTTTATATACTTACATTTACAACATTTACATTTTGTATTTTAAATGTCATTTTCGTAAGGTTGAAATGGTCATTCAAATACTTTTAATTTATACATTTTTCAAAAATATTGTGTTACATGTGCTATCCCTAAAATAGAGTGGACTGGAATATGCGAAGTGCATATGTATCATATGGGCGAATATGCATGCGTTAATGGGGTGTTCAATGTACTATTGCTATATAAATCAAAATCTATATCGATATATGGGCACTGTTCAGTAGAAAAGAGAGAAATCTCCTTTTTAAATCTGGTCAATTTGACCGGATCTAAAAAGGAGATTTCTCCCTTTTCTATTGAACAGCGC